GCCAATTAATTTTTAACAAGGATGCCCAAACCATTCAATGGGAAAAGTTAGTCTCTTCAATGAATGGTTATGGAAAAATTACACATCTACAAGTAAAAGAATAAAGTGTACACTTAACCTTTTACCTTATACAAAAGTAACTCAAAAGTGAAACAGTGACCCAGATATAAGACATAGAAACATCTCTTAAAAATATATAAATCTTCATGACTTTGAATTTACAGTTGATACTTAGGATAACAAAAGCATGATCAGCAAAATAAAAACAGAATAATTATGACTCATCAAAATTGAAAACTTTTACTGGGGCATGGTGACACATATCTGTAATTCCAGTGCTCAAGAGGCAAAGGCAGGGAGATTGTGAGTTTGAGGTCAACTTGGGGTACATAGCAATACCCTGTTCAAAAACAATTAAAAAGTAAAATAAAATAAGAATGTTCATGGATATTATCAAGAAAGTAGAAGGATATTATTAAGAAAGTACACTGGTGACTCACACTTGTAATCCTAACTACTTGGGAGGCTGAGATCAGCAGGATCATGGTTCAAGGCCAGCCTGGGCAAATAGTTCATGAGATCCCCATCTTCAAAATAACTGGAGCAAAATGGACTGGAAATGTGGCTCACGTTTTAAAGTGCCTGCTTTGCAAGCACAAAGCTTTGTAAATCACATCCTATAAAGCCCTAGTGTGCAGAATATATAAAGAATCGTTAAAATTCAACAGTAAAAATACAAATAACCCAATTAAGATTTGGACATGGGACTATATCAAAGAATATATTCAGAAGTCCAACAGTTTGTATAAACAGATGTGCTATATCATTAGTCGTTAGGAGAAATCAAATTTAAAACCCAATGAGGGGAGTGAAGATGAAGCTTAGTGGAAGAGAGCTTGTCTAGCTCGGTTCAGTCCCTAGCTTCACACATAAAAACAGACCCATAATGAGGTACTCACTTTATGCCACTAAAATAATTTTTTAAAAAAAGGAGGTGGAGAAATTGGGCCCCTTACACTTTACTGGTGGGAGTGTAAAATAGTTGGGCTTCTCTGTAAACAGTTCCTTAAAAGGCTAAACATAGAATTATCATATAACCATGCAATTGCACTCTTAGATATATATAGAAAAGAATTGAAAACAGGTATTCAAACAAGAACATATATATGCATGTTCATAGAAAGACTATTCACAATAGCTAAAAGGTGGAAACAGTCTAAATGAGCAATAAGGGATGAATGGATAAACAAAATGGGATATATTCATGTGGTAGATTGCTCTTCATCCATGAAAAGGAGTGAAGTACTGATACATGTTGCAGCAAGGACGAACTTTGGAAACATGGTAAGTGAAGGAAGCCATCAGACAAAAGATCACATATTATGGATTCCATTTATATGATATTTCCAAAATAGGTGAATCTGTACCAAGAGATTACAACTTGGCGATTCCTAGGAATAGAATATATGTGCTTGTGTGTGTGTGTGTATAATGGAGAAAATGTTTAGGAAATGAATAGAGATAGGTGGTTGTACAACACTTGGAATATATTAAATATTACTGGATTGTTCACCTTAAAGTAGTTAGTTTTATGTCATGTGATTACCTCAGTAAAAATGTTTCTAAGGAAAACTTGGAGAAATGCTCCACACTGAATGAAACCAAAGAAACATGAAAATTAAATGGAGTATCTGATCTAAGAATGAATCTTGGCTAGAGGGAAAAAGGCTGTTCGTAATATTATTAGGTCAGGTGACAAAATTGGAATGTAGATGGGAGATTAGATTTTAAATATTATATTGATGTTAAAATTTACCAAAGATGATAACTCTATTGTAGTTATATATGTATATATGAGTATTTTTACTTTTAGAAAAATCACAATGAAGTAATTGGTTGCTAATGTCATGATGGATACATACTGAACTCAAATGGCTCAGAAATGTGTATGTGTGTGTGTGCACGTGTGTGTAGAGAAAGAGAGACAGACAGACAGAAAATGAGAGAGAGCAGGCACTAGTATGAGTGTTGTAGCATGTGGATATAAATGTTGAAGGAAATGAAACAAAAATTTAACAATAGACTAATCATGATACAGGCTATATTAGTGTTCTATGCTATTTCCACATTTGTTACTTTTTCCTGATTTTTAAATTATTTCCAAAAATATTAAAACATCTATGTACTTATGATCTGACTTAATAAATTCAATACTATAATACAAAATACCCTGTGTATGCCTTTCTCTTTTCAGAAAGACTTTCCTAAATTTGATGTTTGCTAGTCCCAGACATATCTTTATACTTTTCATATATATATACATTCACATATGTATGTGCATGCATACATACATACGCATATACATCTAAGCCACATATAGTACAGTGTTGCAAGTTTAATGGATTTTTGAGATAGGGTCTTGCTATGTAGCCCAGGCTGGCCTTGAACTGGATCCTCCCACCTCAGCCTCCCAAGTGCTGGGATTACGGGTATATGACACCACATCACACTTGGCTCTTATAATTTTAACATTATATTACCATGTAATCATTATGTATCTTACTTTCCTCATCCAGTTTTATATTTGAGGTAGTTATACATGGTGATATATATATATATATAGTGCTAGTTCACTCATTTTCACTGCTGTACAGGTATACCAAACATCTTAGTGGGTTTTCTTAATCTATATTAAATGTATGATTATAAATGCTATGGGTTTTCAAAAAAAAATTCACACCACTTGAAAATTGTGTTTAAATTTTTAGTAATTGTTAAGTTTATCTGAAAAATAACCTAAAGCCAAAAAAGGGGCTAGAGGCATGGTTCAAGTGGTAGAGCACTTGGCCCTAGGTTCAAATCCCAGTCCTGCCAGAAAGAAGGTTTTACTGAACTGACAAGCTATCTGAATTATGCCATGAGTCATATTAATTATAAATCTTTAAAAATTTATAATTAAATTTCACACATATGTGGATCATGCAGTATTTATCTTTCTGGGTCTGGTTTGTTTTACATAACATAATGACCTTCAGGTTGGTCAATGATAGCAAATGACAGTATTTTCTTCTTTTGGTAGAATGGGCAGTTATCAATCAAAGGGTAAAACGTTTCAGTTAGGAGACACAAGTTTCGCAGATCTGTTGCACAACAAGGTGACTATTGTCAATAAAATATATATTTAAAAATTGATGAAAATAAATTTCAAAGGTCTCTACAAAAAACGGAGAGATGAGGTAAATGGTAAGTTAATTTAGCTTGCTTTAACATTTCCATATTGTATACATATATCAAAATAATACATTGAGCTTCATACACATATATAATAATTGTGATTTTTCAATTATTAAGTATTAAGTATAATCACAACAACCACAATTACAAAATAATCTTGATATTTGCTAACATATACTAATTAGTTACCAAGGAGCTATGCTAAAGAACTCCATGCATCATCTCATTTCCCCCATGTTTTTAATCATGGGATTGGTTTGAACTCAGAGCTTCACACTTGCAAAGCGGGTGCTTTACCTCCTGAGCCACTCCTCCAGTCCATTTTGCTCTGGTTATTTTGGAGATGGGGTCTCATGAACTGTTTGCTCACACTGGCCTCAAAACTTAATCCTCCTGATCGCAGCTTTCCAAGCAACTAGGATTATAGGGGTGAGCCACCAGCCTGGTTGTTTCCTCTTCATAAAAACCTGTTTGGGGCTTGGTACCAGTGGGAGGGGGAGGATATAAAGAAAGGGTGAAGGAGGATGAATCTAGTGGAAATATTTTGTATTCATGTATGAAAATGGAAAAATTAACCATGATGAAACTATTCCAGGAATGGGGTGAGGAGGGCTAAAGGAGAATGATATATTGTAAGAACTTTTGTAAATGTCATAATCTACCCCCAGTAGAGCAATAATATAATAAAAATGTTGATTAATTTATAAAAATGAAATACATGGAAGGAGTAACAAGTCAAATAAAAGGGTAAACCTTAGTAAAAGGAGATATAGGGAATACTGCACCTTGAGAAAACAACAGGGGACTCTTGATTCAGTGGCGTTGTGTGATTAATGTTGAGATGATATAACAAAAGATGACTTGAGTCAGTACTGAAAAGGAAAAAATAAGTATTGTACTTATTTAACTTCAATTTGGTAAGTTCATGTTGTATTTTCTAGAATTGCCACTAAAAATAGAAATTTTAAGAACAGAGTTTACTGAAGAGAGATTATAAATTCTATAGTGGCAAAGGGGATAAAAGAAGAGGCAAAACAGATACTAGATTTAAAAATTATGTCAGGGGCTGGGGATGCAGCTTAGTAGTAGAGTGCTTAGTAGTAGACTGCTTGCTTAGCATGTATGATGTCCTGAGTTTAATCCCCAGCACTGAAAAAAGAAAAAGACAAAACCAATATATTAATTGTATGTTATTTACAAGAAGTAGAGAAAAGTTGAAGTAAAAAGATGGAAAATGATATATCAGTCCAATTGCTAAAACAACAAAGCTGGTGCAATTATACAGTCATACTTTGATTAACAGCAGGAATATATTCTGAGAAATGCTTCATTAGACAATTTTATTATTGGGTGACCATTATCAAATATATGTCCTTATACAAATGTAGATGGGCTATGTAATTAAGATTAGACAGAATGTCTGTAGTAACATCAGATAAATAGTCTTTAAAGGGAAAGAGAGAACAATATTAGCATGTAAAACAGAAATTACATACAAACTTGGGAATGAAGTTGAAAAGAAGGCAATAATATATAATCACATAATATGTTCAATAAGTGTTACACTGATTTGAAGAATAAAGAAAAAGCTGGAAGTCTAGGAAAACATATCAATAGTTGTTTAGAATTTATAGTTTAATCAAACATTTGCCTTCAGAGATCCAAGAAGACTGACCTTTTGTTTCTAAGTCATTGTACATCTATAATTGTTGGCAACACAGATACAGTTAAATGCATTTGGTAAGCCTTTGCTCTTGTGTTTTTAGGAATTCAAAATGTGCTGAACCTCTTTTGTGCAGTCCTTACAGAAAATAAGGTACTCTTCCATTCTGCAAGTTTCCAGAGACTTAGTGATGCCTGTAGAGCCCTGGAGTCGTTAATGTTTCCTCTTAAATATAGGTGAGGGTTTTACTTGGTAATTTTGTGTCTTTCCAAATTATGCCTTACTTACTGTCTTGGCACAATGGTTTTAAACCACAAAGTTACACCATTACAAGAATCATGATTCTAATAAAATCTTGCCTGAAATTTAGGACTTTTCCAAGTTGTTCATTACTAAGTGTTGATTAATTCAGTGAAAAATACTGAATTTACTTTGAATAGTATTGTCAGCACACTTAATTCTCTTTGAATGCAGTTAGGGATAAAAGTTTCCAGTTGGGGCTATTTGATATTAAAGAAGTATTATTAATTTTTAGGAGTTATATTACAGTTCTATTAATAAACAGTCTTTTTAAAGATACCTACTAATGTTTTTATATGTAAATGATGTATCTGGGGTTTTCTTCAAAATAATGTAGTAGAGAAGAGAACATAGTGGGTAAAACAAAACATATATGCACATAGATATGTATGTACATATGTATATGTTTATATGTGTTTGTATGTGAGTATGCATTGGTAATTATCAAACCTGGATTAGATGCATAGGACTTCATTATAATTTTTTCTATTTTAGGAGGCATGTTAAAATTTTTCCATAATAAAAAATAAAAAACAAAATGTACTGTTTAATTTGCTAATAATAACATCTAGGAAACTGAAGATTATATGTGCTAGAAGAAATTTTAAATTGTTTCTGGAATTTCTTTAAAATTTTTTATGTGTGTGCTTTTCTTAACCTTTTTGATAAAACAGAGTGTTCTTGACCTTAACTTTTTTCTTGATGTTTTTCTGAATGCAAGCATCAAATAAAGAAAATGGAATTTGAATGATTATATTTTATAGATAAATCATCACTTAGTCTTGAAAGGGGAGGCACCATCAGTATCAATTCCTGATGTCAGGTTTCTCCATAAGGAAAAATACTTTCAAAATAATATTAAAAGACCTAAAGAAACTGCTTGCTTAGGAGAAGGAAGGGATAAAGAGGCTCATCTGGGCTCCATGTGCTTGCATCTCTTAGCTTGATCATATCTTGAGTATGAAGGTTTTTTAATCATTACTTTTAAATTTTTGACACTAACAAATGTGAAAAATTGTTAATCAAAAATTCATACTACATAAAAAATGCAAAAATATGTTTATATTGTGAAAAAATATATATATGACACATATTTATCATTTCCAGTTATCCTTATATTCCCATTCTCCCGGCCAGCTACTGAGTTCTAAGTTCCCCAACGCCTTTCATTATAGGAGTGCATTCCATCTTTAAAACTGATATCCATAACTTTAAGTATTCATCTTTAAAATGTCCAGTTATTGAATACAAAGCTTTTCTATTTCTTCAATCCTGTAACATTTACCAAATTTTTATTTTCAAATGTGTTGCATTTCCAATAGAAAGGTTAGAAGGAAACAATGAAATTCTAAATAATGGCCTATACAATTATGGAAGATTTTTAAAGGAAATTCATGAATTTTTTTTTTTGAGATTGGGATCTCATTATGTTCCCTAGGCTGGACGTAACTCCTGGCTCAAGCGAATCCTCCTACCTATCTACTGAGTAGTGCTGGAAAACTATAGGCATGATATTCCCCACACCCAGCTCATTAATATTTTTTAAAATATTTCCTCTGTTGGGCAGATTAAGTTTATCTATTCTGTGTTCTCATCCTGTGTATGAGAAAAGATGGTAACTAATGCATTAATATTTCATTCATACTTTTCTTATTATTCGTTTTATTCACTTTTTAAAATGAGATGTGTTAATACTGAATAGCTGAAAAATAATACAAAGTTTACAGAAGAGTTTAGTTTTAGTGAAACACAAGTTCATTGTGCGCTTCCATCAAATTCTTATATTGTTAATTCCAATTACCAAATACCAAAAAAAAAAAAACGAAAGAAACACCAAAGAAGGAAAATCTAGTTATGGAATAATGTGTTTGATTTTAGGTAGCACACTTCAAGAGGAACTTAACAAAATAAACTCCTTCCAGTTGATTTTAGTAGCTCACGCCTATAATCTTAACTACTCAAGGAGGATCATAGTTCTAGGCCAGGCCAGGCAAAATGTTAATGAGACTTCCCTCTCAATCAGGTGTGGCGGTGTGATCCCAGTTCACTATGCTGAAAGGTTATAGGTAGGTTTAGGTATGAAGCTGGCCCCAGGCAAAAACATGAGACCCTAACTGAAAACTAAAGGAAAAAAGGACTCAGGGATGTGGGCTGAAGTGATAGAGCACCTGCCTAGCAAGTGCAAGGCCCTGAGTTCAAATACTAGTACTGCCAAAATATAAATAAATAAAAATAAAGTGCTTTTGAGAAGGACATCCAGGATCATCAAGAGTTTAGAAAGTATATTCTATAATGCTGTGAGGAAATTTTCTCAGGTAATAATATGATACTATTTGACAGCTACAGACAATTGTTTAAGTGATAAGGATAAGATTATTATTTTTTTGTAGGTGTAAAAGGCTGAAAGAGAATCATTGGGGATAATGAATTTAGGAACAGATTTCTACTCAGTATAAGCATTTCCAACTACTTGAGCTGCCCCATACTAGAGTGGGCTTTGTTATGTGAGGTAAGGAACTGTACTCTGAAGTGCAAAGTGAAGTGCAAAGAACAGAATATGGGAGTATAAAAAATTCTTTACTGAAAAGATTAGGCTACATGACATTGTATGTACAGATCGTTAAGACCTGGTAATTCTTCTGTTGTAGTTTGAAATGCTAGCACCAGCTCTGTTGGTACTTACACAGTAATTACAGTTGTAATTAAATCAGAAGTATAACTTAAACTAAAAGTAGGATCCTCAATTGTATATTATTCATTCTTCCTAGCCTTATATGTTGATATCTACTCTATTTAACTTTGGTTTCACCATATAAAAATGTGTAAATTACTACACATATTAGTGTGTAATTAATAATTAGTACTAATTAGAAGCAACCCATATGGTTTGTAGATTATTTATTACCACTAAATATTCAGTCAAACTTGGAAATAGGACAAACCAAGTGTCACCAAATGTAAATTTCTTACATTTTTAGTGACTAAATTAGAATGAGTTATAATCACATTATCATTGTAACAACTTCACTCATCTTGGCTAGTTTCTCTTACATTTTTATGTAAGTTATTTTTAAATATAATCTTGTACATTGCTTACAATCAGTTTTTTTCTTAAGCACCTAAACAGTGTCTTTTTGATTTTTACTACTTTGGTTATTACTCTTACAATAAATATTAATTCATTCAGTATGGCTAAACTACTATAATAAAAGATCAAAATGCAGTTATCTCAGACAAAATTCATGTAGCAACCCATAGAAATATTCCATTATGCCAGACTAGTTTGCTCTATGAAGTCATTTAATGTCCAAGCTCCCCTTGTCCTTGTTTTCTGCAAGAATCCCCTCAGACACTGTCATCATAGTTTCAGCTTATACCAAAAGGAATGACCACACAAAAAAGCCTTGTAATGCTCCTATCTTAAGTGGCTAGAAGTGCACACATACTACTTTTTACGTTCCATTGGTGGAAACAGTCACACTCACCACCTAATTTCAAAGGAGGCTGAGAAATGTAGGATAACTGGACAGTCTCACATGGGCCCAAACTCTACTACAGCTAAGCCATAAATCTCTTCCAGAGTTGGTTCTTCTCAGTTTGAATCAGTCAAGACCAATTTAATTTGCTTAATAACAAATACATTTTATTAATTATAGATTAATTTTTTGATCTCTTGCAGTTAGATGTAATCATAGCAGATTTGGATGGAGGCACTATTAAAGTTCCTGAATGTATTCACCTTTCTTCCCTCCCGGAACCACTTCTTCATCAGACTCAAGCAGCTCTTTCTTTGGTATGACTTTTTTTTAATAGTAATTTATTCTTGATTTAAATCTGAAAATATGATAACTGGAATTTAAAAATCACAGTTAGTGTAATAATTTTAAACTGAATTATATGTTTGAAACATAGATTCTCTTATAGTATTTAAAGTAGAATTCTTCATTTTTTGGTTGTTATCAAAAGAGTATTCTTTGAATTCTACATTCATGCCTTCATTTAGCATATACCACATACTTGCTGGTATTGGAAATACACCTCTGAAAACGACAAAATTCTGTCTCAAAATCACTAATTCCCCCAACATACTTCATTAGAAGAAATTAGCTTCTGTTCTCTATCCTCTTTATTGATATCTCATTCCTCTGGTAGATGTGTTACCTGCAAAACAGTGAAAATGTCTTGTCAATGTATTCAAATTAGTACAGAAAGATATGACTAAGTGAAACATTAAATATCCAACATTCCATGTAGTGAAGTTCTAAAAAACATTGTGGGCTGGGTTTTGTACAATGAAACGAACTTAATTGTTTTTGTAGTTCCCTTACCTTGGTTGATTTTTTTTTTTAAACACAGTATTTTATTTTACTGATAGCCCTTTAGGTGCTGATTTATCCACCATTAGAAAAATAAATTTTAGCTTTTTCCCTGTTTCGTGGCCAAGGGCTGTGCCTATCTGGGTTTATAGCAAAAATGAGGGGGAAATGTGATTGATACCAAAACATTCCTTAGATGCGTATGTGAGGAAAGACTGAATCATTGAATGTGACATCTTGTGAAGCCAGTAAATTCTCTGAGACTTTAGTAGAATCTGAGGAAAAAAGGAAGCACCAACAGTGGCTCAAAGTCCTAACATACGTGGATGTTCAACATCAGAGGTCTCATCTGTCATATAGGCTCTGTCAATCATCCTGTAAGACCAATGTTATGAAAAAAGGTTTTTATAAAGTACATGTATCCAGAAAGATCCAAACAGTGACTGGAGCACAGACGCAGAATGCATGAGCTCCGTGAATCAGGGACCTTGCTGAGATGCTGGAGACATACATGGCTGAGAGTTTGTTTGTCTTCTTCACTGTCTAATTGTCCACCATCTCTCCCTGTTGATTTCTTTGGTTCTTCTTTTTTCTTTCATTTCTTTCTTTTTCTTTTTCTTTTTTCTCCTTCTTTCTTAGTTTTGTTAGTTTTACTGTTGTAAGTTAGCCAATACTAAATTACACATAGACCAGGGACAGAAACAGTACCAAGTGGAATGATGGGAAGACAAAAAAGGGATAGAAACCATTCTCCTCCCAAAAATAAATTAGTACAGGATGTAGAGGGAAATGAAGAAAACAGATAACCAGATTCAGACTCCAACAAAACAAAGATAAACTATACCAAGGAACCCAACAAGCCCACAAGAACAGCCTCAAAGAAGAAATCCTGCAAGTAATCAATGAGAATTTCATAGAGATGATACTAGACATGGTCAACTAAAATGTATAGAAGGCACTCAAGAAATTCCAAAACAACAAAAATAAAGAATATGAGAAAACACAAAACAAATAATTGAACTCATAAGAGCCCTAAATAAACACCAAAATGAAACAGAGAACACCATAAATAGAGAGATAAATGAATTAAGGATGAAAATTGACAATATTAAAGAGGAAGTGACCCATGATATGGAAAACCTCAGAAAAAAGAATAAAACAAAATGGAAGGCCGCTCCAGCAGACTAGAACAAACAGAAGACAGAATCTCAGAACTTGAAGATGAAATGGAAATCAAATGAAAAACTGAAGAACTATTAGTCAGACAACTCAAGACCTGTGAAAAGAATATGCAAGAACTCACCGACTCCATCAAAAGACCAAACCTGAGAATCATGGGGGCATTGAAGAAGGAGAAGAGGTGCAATCAAAAGGAATTTGTAATATATTCAACAAAATAATACCAGAAAATTTCCCAAATCTAGAGAAAACGATGCCCATTCAGGTACAGGAAGCCTCCAGGACACCACACAGACTTGACCAAAACAGTCTGTGTGGTCAACTGTATGTATGTCTGTAACACTACATGTTATCATTAAAACAACAAGCACAGAGAATAGAGAAAGAATATTGAAAGCTATGAGAGAGAAAAAACAAATAACATACAAAGTTAAACCCATCAAATCACAGCAGATTTCTCTATGGAAACAAACCAAGAAGAGCATGGAGTGAGGTCTTTCGGGCACTGAATGAAAATAACTTCAACCCTAGGATACTCTACCCAGCAAAACTATCATTCAAAACAGATGGAGCAATAAAAGTCTTCCATGATAAGCAGAAACTAAAGCAATATATGACCACCAAGCCACCACTACAAAAGATTCTTCAGGGAATTCTGCACACAGAAAGTGAAAGCAAACAAAACCATGAAAGGGCAGGCAGTACCAAACCACAGGAGAAGAAGAGGTAAGAAAGCAGAGAGTAACATTGATTCAGCTGCACACACTCAAACCCTTAAACAACAAAGACAACTAAATGACAGGAATCACCACATAACTATCAATACTAATACTGAATGTTAACAAACTTAATTCCCCCATCAAAAGACACCGTTTGGCAAACTGGATTAAAAAGAAAGATCCAACAATCTGCTGCCTACAGGACCCATCTCATCGACAGAAACAAGCACTGGCTGTGGGTGAAAGGCTGGAAGAAGATCTACCAAGCCAATGGCCCCCCAAAACAGGCAGGGGTAGCAATTACTTATCTCAAACAAAGTAGACCTCAAACTTACATTGATAAAATGAAATAAAGAAGGACACTCTGTACTAATAAAAGGGGAAATACACCAAAAGGAAATAACAGTTATCAACCAATGTGCACCTAATGTCAAATGCACCCAGTTTCATCAACACACTCTGCAGGACCTTTAGACATATATAGACCCCAACACGGTGGCAGTGGGAGACTGAACACCCCTCTGTCACCAATAGATAGCTCATCCAAACAAAAAAATCAATAAAGAAATTCTAGAACTAAATCACATCATAGATCAAATGGACCTAGCTGATGTCTACAGAATATTTCATCCAATTTCTGCACATTCTTCTCAGCAGCTCATGGAACCTTCTCCAAAATTGATCATATCTTAGGGCACAAAGCAAGCCTCAGCAAATATAAGAAAATAGAAATAATCCCATGCATTCTAGCTGATGACAATGCATTAAAGCTAGAAATCAACAACAAAAACAACAGTAAAAAACATGCAAACAATTGGAAGCTGAACAACACATTGCTCAATGATCAATGGGTCATTGATGAAACAAAAGGGGAAATTAAAAGTTTCCTGGAAGTTAATGAAGATGAAAACATGACCTACTGAACCTGTGGATACAGCAAAGGCAGTCTAAGAGAAATTTATAGCCATGAGTGCATATATTAAAAGGTCAGAAAGACTCAAATCACATGACCTAATGCTACATCTCAAACTCCTAGAAAACAAAACAAGCAAATCCCAAAACAACAGAAGGAAGAAATAATAAAAATAAGGGCTGAAATCAAGAAATAGAAAAAACAAAACAAAAAAACCATACAAAGAATCAATGAAACAAAAAGTGGTTCTTTGAAAAAATAAATAGATGACAGACCCTGGCAAACCTGACTAAAATGAGGAGAGAAAAAAACCCAAATCAGTAAAATCAGAATGCAAAAGGAGATAACAACAAACACCATGGAAATCCAGGAAATCACAGAGACTACTTTAGACCTATATTCTAATAAATTTGAAAATCTTAAAGAAATGGACAGATTTCTAGATACTTACAGCCATCCAAAACTGAACCAAGAAGATATTAATCACCTGAATAGATCTATAACACAAAATGAAATTGAAGCAACAATAAAGGAGTCTCCCAAAAAAGAAAAGTCCAGAACCTGATGGATTCTCTGCTGAATTCTATCAGATGTTTAAAGAAGAACTAATACCAACTCTCCTTAAACTGTTCCATGAAATGGAAAGGGAAGGAACACTGCCTAACTCATTTTATGTAACCAATATTACTGTCATCCTCAAACCACAAAAAGACACCTCCAAAAAGGAGAACTGTAGGCCAATTTCCTTAATGAACATGGATGCAAAAATCCTCAACAAAATAATGGCAAACAGAGTCCAACAACACATCAGAAAGATCATCCATCATGACCATGTCGACTTCATTCCAGGGATGCAGGGGTGGTTCAACATACGAAAATCATATAAACGTAATACACATTAACAGAAGCAAAGACAAAAACCACTTGATCATCTCAATAGATGCAGAAAAAGCTTTGGACAAGATCCAATACCCTTTATGATAAAAGCTCTAAGAAAACTAGGAAGAGAAGGAATGTACCTCAACATTATAAAAGCTATATATGACAAACCTACAGCCAGCATTATACTTAATGGAGAAAAACTGAAACCATTCCCTCTAAAATCAGGAACCAGACAAGATCCCACTATCTCCACTCCTATTCAACATAGTACTGGAATTCCTAGCCAGAGCAATTAGGCAAGAAGAAGGAATAAAAGGAATACAAATAGGTAAAGAAACTGTCAAAATATCCCTATTTGCAGACGACATGATCCTATACCTTAAAGACCCAAAAAACTCTACTCAGAAGCTTCTAGACATCATCAATAGCTACAGCAAGGTAGCAGGATATAAAATCAACATAGAAAATCATTAGCATTTCTATACACTAACAATGAGCAAACTGAAAAAGAATGTATGAAAACAATTCCATTTACAATAGCCTCAAAAAAAATCAAATACCTAGGTGTAAACCTAACAAAAGATGTGAAAGACCTCTACAAGGAAAACTACACTTCTGAAGAAAGAGATTGAGGAAGACTATAGAAAGTGGAGAGATCTCCATGCTCATGGATTGGTAGAATCAACATAGTAAAAATGTGATACTCCCAAAAGTAATCTACATGTTTAATGCAATTCCCATCAAAATTCCAATGACATTCATTAAAGAGATTGAAAAATCTACTGTTAAATTTATATGGAAACACAAGAGGCCACGAATAGCCAAGGCAATACTCAGTCAAAAGAACAATGCAGGAGGTATCACAATACCTGACTTCAAACTATATTACAAAGCAATAACAATAAAACAGCATGGTACTGGCACAAAAACAACATGAAGACCAGTGGAACAAATAGAGGATCCAGATATGAAGCCACACAACTATAAGCAACTTATCTTTGACAAAGGAGCTAAAAATATACGATGGAGAAATAGCAGCCTCTTCAACAAAAACTGCTGGGAAAACTGGTTAGCAGTCTGCAAAAAACTGAAACTAGATCCATGTATATCACCCTATACCAAGATTAACTCAAAATGGATCAAGGATCTTAATATCAGACCCCAAACTCTTAAGTTGATACAAGAAAGAGTAGGAAATACTCTGGAGTTAGTAGGTATAGGTAAGAACTTTCTCAATGAAACCCCAGCAGCACAGCAACTAAGAGATAGCATAGATAAATGGGACCTCATAAAACTAAAAAGCTTCTGTTCATCAAAAGAAATGGTCTCTAAACTGAAGAGAACACCCACAGAGGGGAGAAAATATTTGCCAACTATACATCAGACAAAGGACTGATAACCAGAATATACAGGGAACTTAAAAAACTAAATTCTCCCAAAACTAATGAACCAATAAAGAAATGGGCATGTGAACTAAACAGAACTTTCTCAAAAGAAGAAATTCAAATGGCCAGAAAACACATGAAAAAATGCTCACCATCTCTAGCAATAAAGGAAATGCAAATTAAAACCACACTAAGATTCCACCTCACCCCTGTTAGAATAGCCATCATCAGCAACACCACCAACAACAGGTGTTGGCGAGGATGCGGGGAAAAAGGAACCCTCTTACACTGTTGGTGGGAATGTAGACTAGTACAACCACTCTGGAAAAAAATTTGGAGGCTACTTAAAAAGCTGACATCGATCTACCATTTGATCCAGCAATACCACTCTTGGGGATATACCCAAAAGACTGTTACTCCAGAGGCACCTGCACATCCATGTTTATTGCGGCACTATTCACAATAGCCAAGTTATGGAAACAGCCAAGATGCCCCAGCACTGACGAATGGATTAAGAAAATGTGGTATCTATACACAATGGAATTTTATGCAGCCATGAAGAACGAAATGTTATCATTCGCTGGTAAATGGATGGAATTGGAGAACATCATTCTGAGTGAGGTTAGCCTGGCCCAAAAGACCAAAAAATCGTATGTTCTCCCTCATATGTGGACATTAGATCAAGGGCAAACACAACAAGGGGATTGGACTATGAGCACATGATAAAAGCGAGAGCACACAAGGAGGGTGAGGATAGGTAAGACACCTAAAAAACTAGCTAGCATTTGTTGCCCTTAACGCAGAGAAACTAAAGCAGATACCTTAAAGCAACTGAGGCCAATAGGAAAAGGGAACAGGTACTAGAGAAAAGGTTAGATCAAAAAGAATTAACCTAGAAGGTAACACCACCACAGGAAATCAATGTGAGTCAATGCCCTGTATAGCTATCCTTATCTCAACCAGCAAAAACCCTTGTTCCTTCCTATATTGCTTATACTCTCTCTACAACAAAATTAGAAATAAGGGCAAAATAGTTTCTGCTGGGTATTGGGGGGGGGAGAGGGGCGGAGGGGGTAAGGGAGGGTGGGGCAGGGGAGAATGAACCAAGCCTTGTATGCACATATGAATAATAAAAGAAAAAAAAAAGAAAATTCTTT